TGCGACCGGGCGGAGTGGAAAATGTTGTCCGGTGATCGCAAGAAACACTGAACCCACGATGTGCCCGCCGCGTATCATGACAACGCGTTTTTACCGTTAATATTCACCGGGCTTTTGTACTTAGAACTTTATTAACGTGACCTTAATGCACAAATCTAATCTAAACCATAGAATATGTTGGCATATACAATTTCGCAATATATTTTGCTGTCTTTAAATGTATTATACCAAATAGGACTACGGAAATAGCTCGTAGATAAATATTATGAGATCTGTAACAAAATAAAATTATCGACCTATATTTTTATAGCATTTCTCTGCCTATAAATCTTTTCATTTTGTAATAACTAAATTATATTAAAATTAAATATATTGTAATTTTGTTTTAGTAGTTTTGTGGTAGTAAAGTGTAGCTTATAGTTATAATTAAGAAATGGTTTGCCCTGACAGCCTATCGATGCATAGTCAAAATTACTTAGGCTAAAAAGAAAGATGAAATTTAAACATGATTTATTTCATATCGTAAACATCTACGGAGAAATAGTTTTTTAAAACTTTGATTCAAACTCGCAGATTCTCTATTATATTATTATAACATAGTAATTTGAATATTTTGCGTTAGTGAAATAATATTAATACAAAAAACGTGATTTGCATAAGTGACTAAATGTTCGATATGAGCAAATTTATTTTTTATTTTAATTTAAATTTATCTTGAACGTTTGTGCTTTATTAAATATATAATTAAATTTATTCCCTAAACCAAATATATACTAATAATATAAATGCGAAAGTGACTCTGTTTGTCTGTTCGTTATTTTTTACCGACTAAACGGCTGTAAGGATATTAATAACATTAGACGTAAAGATGGATTGTATCACTTTTTATTTTAATAAATATAGACGAAGACGCGGGTCACAATAAGTATAGTTATAAAACTAACTTGTTATCTATTCGTACTCATATATATATATACTGAGGTATGTACACTTTACAATGATAAATGAAACAGTGAAACTGTCGGCGCTCTTATTTCTACGCAATAGCTACGCCATTTTATTGACATTTTTAAGGAACGTAACTTGGGGGATATTTACCGCAATATATCTAAATAATGATGTTTTGTTTGTGTTTAATAGTGTTATAATTTAAAACATTAATTTAGTGTTATTCGAATACATTTATAATGATACTAATATAAAGAGAAACGAATTTTATTCTTCTTTGTACCGACTTTAGAAGAATTTCCTTTGAATAAAGATTATTGCTTATAATCTTTATTCAAAGAAAAGTAATACAATAAATACATACAATATTTTAAATAATATCTAATAAATAATTTTACCACCCGAATCTGTCTGAATGTAGATCGAGACAAGGAAATTAGCAAATTTTGCCATTTTACAGAACGTCACCATGAACATCATGTGACAATTGTTGTCTTTCTAAAATATGAGGGGTTATGGAGAATTAAGGTGTAATACTTCTTTACTCTGTAATTTCACAAACAAAACACATCTTACAAAGCAAGCTACTTGGGGTCGAAATTAGATGAAACAAAGATACGCATTTTGTAGAAATACTGGTGAATACTATAGTACGTTATCAACAAGTAATGTGGGTAATATTTTTTATTATAAAAAAAAAGTGTGCCATATAAAAGCTATGTCTTTGCGAAACCAGGACACGTCACTAGTACATAATAAATGAGTTGTATAAAACACTCTACTATATTGAAGAATAAATTTATGACCTCGCCAACATAAAGGTCACTGAAGACTAATTTCGGCCAGAAGCTTTTACTTGAAGTTTGCTGAGTTACCAGCGGCCCTATATTGAATATTATGAAATAGTGAAAACAAACACAAATCGGAGGACCGTGAGGGTGGTGTCGACGTACAAAGCGGATTAAATTAACTGCCTTAATTGAATTTAGGTTCCTTGTTAGCCAATGTGTCCCCACAGGGTTTGCTGGGCGGCGTTATGCAACAGACCGCCGCACACCGCCAACTCGACCCACTGTAATTAAATCTAGAATCAAACATCCAATAGAAAATATATTTAGGTTTAGTACAACGCACCTATAAATAGGCAAAAATTTTAGGATCTTTCCAGAATTTTGCTTTTATTATTTCAATATATATAGCATCGTGATTTAGTGATTTAAGAAATAGCTTTTTGTATCTAGGTATATTATAAACAGGTAAATTTTGTAAGTTCCTGAGGTGGTATGACAATTATTTCTAGTATTGTATAGGCCAGTTATCGACCTATAGTCTATATATGATAACATCACGCTACGACTAATTGGAGCTGAGCTGCAATGAAAAATGTAGCAAAAACGGGGGAAATGTGACACGGATAATATTGTACGGGTTAGCTCATTCAATCATTTATATTTATGCTTCTTATGTTGATAGAAATACCAATATCAAAGCTAATTAGTCAATCAGCCCGTGACCAAATTGTCGTGTAAAATTATTCGTCTTAAAACCAATTTAAGTATTTTATTAATAAGCAGATCCTGTTAGTAGTCAACATTTTATAGAAATACTTTACAAATATAATATAATAATATGTAGTAGTATAAATACTATAATCGCTCCAAATAAAATCTGAAAGTATATAGAATAGTGTATCCAGTAGATTCGTGAGTCATGAATTTTCGCTACTTTTATTAACATAATTATTCGCCAGCCGTTACTAACACGCGATTTTAACTTTATACAACATGGTAACGAGCAATATTTTATTATTCTTGATGGAATAATTAATTAAATATTCAAACTTTACAGATTTATTTTTTGTATATTTAAACATAAATATCATTGTATTTATATTTTTATTAAAAAATAATAATAATACTTTAAAATAAATACTGGTTTGAAGAGGTTCTATATATAATAACACTATACAGCGTGCCATAAGATTTAATAGCATATGACAAAAGCAACATGGAGCACAATCCAAAATTTAATAACACGATACGAAGCGAGCGCCTCTGCCGAATAACAATAATTTGGCAGCGAGCATATACCAAATTTCAGATGTACCTATTAGTTCCATTTTAAATTTGACAGCCTGTACTGCAGTTCTTGTCAGGAATCACACTGTAGTGCGCAGAAATATTGAAAAATGAATGCTGCAGAATTGCATTATATTTCCTACGTCTGTTCTACCAATATTGACAGTTATTCATATCAAACCTCACATCTATTCGTTGCAATTCTTTTCTTTATAAATACTAAGTTGACAGTATGAGTGGAATGGACTATACAATTGTATATTGTATTAGTAGATGCATATTAATATGTTTTCTATACGAAGACTTTATCATAAGCAAAACACTTACGATATAGACACAGAAAATCAAGTAATTCTGGTATTTACATGTGTATCTGTATCCTTATGTACACTGTTTAATCCCCTTGTATAATATGATCTAAACTACTATTAAGTAGTACTTTTTGTGATTTAAAAATTTGTTTATCATACATGTGTGGCACAATTAAAGAGATTTCAATTTTTTTTAATTTGTTATTCCAACAAAGAACAAATCATTTCTCTGTATACATTAGCTATATTCCATTGTGCTATCGAGGTGTTGCGTGGAATATCGGCCTGATAATGTTGCTTTAGGTGTTGTGACTATTTTTTTAATTTATTCATTACACACATAAAAACATCAAATCTTTCCTATTTATAATATAAGTTTAGATGTAAACAATAATAATAATGTATTCAGTATGTCGTATTATTTATCGTGCATGACAAACTGCCACACGCCAAATGCGACGCCAGACCGCGGGCGCCAACCAATGTTGCGTCCAATAAGTGAGCGCGCGGCGTAATGTACCGCCAAAACAGGGTTGCAACCTTAACACTTTTTGTTTCCTACAAAAGAGGTCAAAATCTCATGCATTGACTGAATTTAGCTCATACAAATTTGTAGATAGTCATATTTAAATGAAGGGGTCAAAGGCAGGGCAATGCGACAGCTATAAATACAATTTTTAGGTTATGTTAACAAGTATCAGTTACGATATTTACTAAACACACGAAATTTTAATTAAATAATAATACGTAATTGTGACTGCATTAAAAATATACTCGTAAATTCGAGAAATTTTGATCTACGGCAAGTAGATCATAATTTCTCGCAAAATTGTACGTGGATGGAGGTATTTCGTACCTCGTACCGAATACCAAAAATCTCGTATTAGATTCCTCCTACTGTTGGCATCCCTGTGCCAAAGCGACGCGATCGTTGTCATTTTCACAAATTATGTGAACGCCACACGCCTGCCAATGTTTATCTGTGCTTGTGAAAGCACTAAATTACGTTTGTGCTACGCACATATTACTGCCACTACTCTATCTGCGTTGACAAATGGTTTTTCGTGTTGTACCAGGCTAGGTAACAAATGTTGGTTTAATATTTTTAATTTGCTCATTTTAATAATATTTTTTAATGGATCATCATCCTTATCAATGAACATGTGTCTGCTAGTGGGTTAGTTGGCATTGATGGTGCACCAGTGTGATAAGATGAGCGTGAGTTCAGTTAGATGTCAGTTTCAAATCGAATTTTCTAGTAATTGACCATGACGACATTGTGGTAGGTAAGATCCTTACACTCCCCACTCGTCTTGTCTTTCCTTGGCTGGATAGTGCTGGTGAAAATATTTGTATACGTTATAAACGAGAAAAAACAAAGTGGCATATCATCATTTATTTAAAATATTAAATATCTAAGTCTTTAAATACTATTTTTGTTGCCGTAGACATGAAAAATTGACATACGTATATTTGTTAAATTTTAGTTGTCTATATAATTATAAAAACACTGCCGTTCTACTTTTATAAAAACGATGCCTTGATGTAATGGATTTTTCACTGTTTTTTTTTCCGCTTTATTTTGAGGAAATGAAGTAGGTACACGTGTTTTAAGCAAGTGTGGTTTTATACTATATTTTAATGTGTGCTACTGATTTCACAGAAATACCATGAGTACAACGTGGAAGTGGCGCGTAAGGATGGTTTACTGTTGGTGCGTGAGCTAGCTGCCGAGGTCAAGAACCACATGGACTTCAAAATTAACGCGGTTATGGTAAGTACATTCAAGTAACATAATATATATCTTCACAACTATGTCATCCCAAGTTGACGCTGAGTACTCCCAGCGTCATTGTTAACTGTCGACATCATGGTAAATGCAACACTTAATATTCCCAAATATTTTTTAGTCCTTTTTGAAACCTTTATTTCTTAACCAAAATGATATTATTTAAAAAAAATTGCCTATACTGAACCTAATTATCGATAGTACCATCTAGTCCTAAATTATGCAGTACTTGTACTTATTTATTAATGATAAAATTGTTTTAATGAATACATATGTATAATATATCCGAAATAAACATATTGATAAAATTATATTACGTGAATGTCAATCCTCAAATCAACGGAAGTTTAGACGGTTTGTTAAATACCTGATATACATATATCTGAGATATTTGCTTAAGTACCTATTATAAATTTAAGAAAGAGTTCCTACTTTAAAATACCTTACCTTCTGTTTTTTATATGTGTCAGACCAATATTCAATATACACATTTAATATGTATAATATAAGATAGTTGGTACATAAAGCTGGTTAATTTAACAAACTTACATAAAATAAGACATAGGTATTACAACTGATACATTACAAATACAAATGATAACTATATTTCGTAGAAGAATATAGGTTAATTATAAATTAAAGGCTCTTTAAAATTCTCAATGCTAGATTTCAACCTACATAGTGAATTATTAAATTCGTTTCAGCGGTTACAAAGTTGTGCGAACTAGAAGTTCGTAATCCGAGCGAGTAACAAATGCCGTGGTTTCTATAGACCTCAAACCCAACATACCTACGAGGGCTTAGTAACGATCTGTATGTACAGACACATGACTTTTACTCCCACCCGTATAAATACGCATAATAATGTGAAGGCCGAACACCAAAGAGGAAAACCGACGCAAAAAACGGGCCCCATAAGAATATTAAACAATACACAAACGGCCGAAAATATACGAACATGGACTTAAATAAAATAATATCGTTGCGTTTAGGTTCTATTTAAGAAGAGCCGTAAAATATCCTGTCTAATGGTCAGGATTAGATAAGCCGCCCTTTTGTATATCGCCATGTTTCATTAAGTGGTTTCTATTGTTTCATGACCTCTGAAGGCTGTATTGTTGTAACAAGAAAAAACAAAACAAAAACAATCTCTCATTTCAACGTTAGCCTAGTCTCATTGAAAAAGTCAAGTTGAGATCGTAAGCAATCTCTGTCTCAGAGGCGATACAAATCACTTACAAAGAGAAACATTGCGAGAGAATCTTTTTACAATGTTACAATAGTCTACAACAGTCAACTCTAGATACTTGTTATCCCAAGAAATACAATGATGCATTTAGTTCTCTCACATTTTTGAAAGATATCGCTATTACAAAAGGGAAAATGTTTTGTTCATGTTTTATTCAATAAAATCCAGCAAGAAAATTCAACACACAAAGACTGATCATAATTGAATTTCGAAATCGATAGCCACTCGTAAATTAGAGTGTTATCTACAACGTGTAAATACAGTTTACGTCGATTCTACATTTAAATATACAGATATTTAGTTTAAGGTAGTATAACGTTTATATGGATCATGCAATATTCTGGTATTCATCATCACATCAAAGTCTGAGTCTCGTATGTTTGCATAGTTCGGGGCTTGTTTGCGTAGGTTCAGTAAGTGGGTATTGAATTGCCCTGACAAGCCAATGAGATCAAGTAGCTATACTTCACATTAGTATATGCATATGGAGATATTTTAATTGCATTTAAATTTGAACGTATATTCAATTTTATAATAATTACAATAAGAATAACTCGTTATTTTAAACAAGCCTGGAATTTCCATTTAACTTGATTACAATAATTGTATTAAGTGACTGCTTTTCTATTATTATTTATCACTGAGTACCTAAAAATATTTATTGGAAATCAACAGAAAGAAAAGATTAAGTGTATGTTTTCTTTCTGTTGATTTCCAATAATTCTACATTATTTTATATGGCATCAGATATGAGAAAAAATATATGAAATTTGTTTCTTCGATCTCAAATAAAACACAATAGGTATCGCGTGTGGAAAGTTGCAAAGTAGCGAGATATTGCGGCGACAGCTAGCGCAGCGTCTCTTCTGCATTAACATATTCAGCGATGGCCGATACGAAACTCGTCGCCTCCGCCGCAGATTTGCCCAAGCCTCGATTATAGTATTGCCATCTAAGTCAAGCCAAACCTACTAAGTAGACCTTCCAACCCAATTAATGTTTAAACTTAAATGAATGAAATCATAAAATTGCAAGTTTGGATGAAAACTGCTGTTTTATTTTTAATTCATAAATATTAGAAAATAGTACTAAAATTAATATAGCAATTATTTAGTTATACAGAAGTATAGCCATTCTATTATCTAATATTTATCGTACATATTTAAGTAATCATTAAATATTACCAATTTATAATTTGTAGATTTTATATGCATCAATTAGTTAAATTGTTGGCTTTTCATGCTCAGTAAAAATATCTACCGTATTTAGTGGTAAAATCAGTAAGGTGGCAACACTGTTCAACTACTCGCACCCGTTTTTGCGATTTGCAACGCAGTCTCGCCAGCCTCCACCGCCGCGCCCGCTGATATTGGAATTCTTCTGAATTTCAAACTAGTCCCTCGACAGCTACCCGTCTTACTTTGGATTTGATACAAAGTTGACAATGTCAACAGTTTTTAACACGCTTTGATTCTTTTACTTCAGTCTAGTCTTCCTATGGTATTTGCTAACATTATCATAAAATGTAAAAACTTAAGTTTCTCTGATCTACGTAAAAGTGCAGTATTACAGCACTGCATATATTTATGCCGATGCGACGGGTTAGATATGTTAATGAAATTATAAGGGACGAAGCCCGGGACGGCATCCCATGAGATAAAGAATAACACGTGCGTTATATGATATAGTGCTATACATTTATATAAAAGACAAATGCCACTCATCGTCAGATGGATCATCAACTTATTTTCTCGTTATAATAAAGAAATCATAACTGATCATTAGATATAACACAAAAAATCCCGATTTAGGTTCAATTTTCTCTATAATTTTTTATTGCTATTTGCAAAAAACTATTTCTATCTATGTAAAGTAACATCCTAATTTACATTGAGTCGTGATATTTCTGTCACTTGCACTGACGTACTTTTAACAATCGTAACTTCGTAGCAATCGTAGCCTTGTAGCAATGGTAATTGTAGCACTTTACGACTCATCCTGTTGATCTTCTAACCGCGCTCAAAACAAGTACCTACAAGTAAATATTGCAAATGACGTAGCGTTCTGAACATAATATGTTGGTGTGCATATACACATATATGTATATTTATGTTACGTCCTCTTAAATGTGTGTGACGACTCGCTATTGTTTGCTTAATTCATTCTGTGACATCCTTCTAATAGAATCATATTCCTAATATACCTACAATAAATAATTTATATACTAATTAAAAAAATACTTTAAATTAGTCCACAATATTTTATTACTAACTTTAATTTCTTGCAGTGGTGTAAGCTGGTTGGTATAGTTACGTCAGTTTTGTTTTTTGACATCGTGGGAATCATAAAAAGGAATAATGACGTATTATATACTCTACAACCACACAGGTTATAGAATATACGTACATATAACTAATTGCATGAAACATTCAATTTGTATACTCAAGCGGGCAAACTCATAGATATCTTTTTACTGGAACAAAGTTTGTTAAGCTTCTACTTATGTTTTCGTAAAACATGTAATAATTCAAGCAAAGAGAAGTTGTACGCAAAGTTTTATGAAGGAGCTGCGATGTTTGGAGTGTGAAAGCCAAGTTGAGGCGTGAGCAGGGTTGCCAAGTAAACAGTGTTCTACCACACTGTTCGGTATTGCAGCACTGTGTTCAGACTTCGGTATTTCATTATGATTAATTTTTCACCGGCAATATAAATAATTCAACTATCAGTATTTTAGTTCCTAATATTATAACATTATAAACGCAAAAGCATGTGAGTGTAAATGTAACAAACATCCATTGTTTAGAATAGAATAGAATAGAAAATCATTTATTCAAATAAACTTAATTTAAGCACTTTTGAATAGACAACATTTTTTTAAATCTACCGCTTATTCGGAAAGCTGTCTCATCACAAGAAGAATAAGCAAGAAACTCGTGTGTTGCTCTTTTAAACAATCCTTGTAAGTTCACATTTTACAAGTCGAAACGTGTGAATACAGACTACCAACCAGCACTAATTTATTTAGGCTCAAATATAAAAACACAATAAGATTAAATCAGTCGTAGTGATAAGAGCAGACCAGTCCCTACAAGCAGCACTCGTTCACGAGTATGACGGAGTATGTTACTCATTTACTCTAAAAGTACTGCATGGATTTTAATTAAACTTCACAATATTATAGCTTATACATCGGAATAAAACATATACTGTAAATTTCACGCCGATTAAACCACAGGCACAGCTAGTTCCTTAATGATTTTTTCTGTTGTGTATTCTGTTATGTGCAAATGAAAAAGTCGAGGGAAGGAAAAAAAAAATATTAGTGTTTTAATATTATTAGCTTGTTATTAATATTATTGTATTTAATATTATTAGTTGCTTTTATGCAATTTTATTTTATATTTTAACAATAACTTTTTTTTCGTTTTTTCGTCACGATTCAGTATATTTAAAAAAAAGATTGTCATCCCTGGGCATGATCGCGCGCCTCGCTGCCGCCACCTCGGGCGCCGCCGTCGCAGCTATTGCCGCTCCATAATTATTCGATCCGCACCACCTCCTCAATGTCATTTGTGGTTTTTGTCCGAACTCTGGCATTCTCCTTTTCGTAAAAGTTCGTTTTTGTCGATTTGTACCCCACCCTCTCTAATGAAGGCCTACAGGATTCAATTAACCGGAGAGATTGGAATGTTTTGTGATTTGTACCGGTACGAAATTCCATCAACGCTTCACCTCA